CAAAAGTAATCCAGAGTGCAAATTTACCTTGAACCGGGATTTACACTCCATTTGCATTGTTTCCAAACGCAGCCTAAAGTGCAAATTCTAATTCACTTTTGTTGTAAGAAAAATTTATGCTGTTTCAAAGACTTACACTGGAAAAGCTTTGATCAATCACAACCACTCAATGAATTTTGATAATTACTACCTGATTCCAATTTTATGATATCCATTGATTGGTTATAAGTTTTTCAGTTATCATGTAGTCGAATCCTTTGCTGTACATATCACTGTCTTATTTGTTTGTGAGAGGTATGTAATTAATCCCCACTTTATATAAAAGCAAATGGAGGTATGAGGAGGCTTAATTAATTATTTCTTTGAGAGTGAAATAGGAAGTAACATGATTAGAGGGAGGTATTAAAAATTTTGCATCAGTTTTTGAGATATATACATAATTTATTCTTTTAGTGAATGTAAACGAAATAAATACAAATTTTGTAATACATAAAAGTGCAAATCATAATTACAAACAAATAAATACAAAAATGAACCAAGTGTAAAATTTGCATTTGATTCATATTTACACTGCAAACTAACATAGCCTAACGGGTGTAAGCAAAAATATCATTGCCTCCAATAGTTATGTTTCCATAAGGCAACTCAAGCTAAACTCAAAAACTCCCCTCATAATTTTTACAACAACTGTTACTCCTAATTGAACTAATAGGCTAATTCCATTATTGCAAGTTACATTTCACTCCCAATTGATCTGCTATGGAAGGGGGTTCCAGATAAAGCAATTCATTTAGCCTAGTTGGGTCTACAAATTTCTCTGCATGCTGAAATAGTCTTAAGATATTCGAGCTCAGTTCATTGAAATACTTGATTATTTGAGCTTGGCTTGTGAGCGTAGTATAAGAGCAGATGTGGTAATCGAGCCAAGCCGAATAATTGGTTATTCGAGCTCGGTTCGCTGAAATAGTCTTAGGCTCGAGTTAGAGACTTGAGCTCGAACTCGAGCTCGACTTAGTTCAAAGGTAGCAAGTTCGAGCTTGTCTCGGTTCAAAGCTCACAAGTTCAAGTTTGGCTCGGCTCGAGCTCGACTAAAAGTCAAGTTTTTTCTAAAAAATATAAATTATATATATATATATATATAAATATTTTTTTATTTTACATACAACAAAATAAGAATTATAAAATTTATTTACTATTATACATAAAAAAATATTATTATATATAATAAAAATTATTTATTATATATGTTTTTATATTTATATGTATATATATGTATGCGTGTATTTGTGTATGCGTATATATAATAAAAAATTATTTATTAATTATACTAGGCTCATGAGCCTCACGAGCCAAGTTTCATTGGGCTTGAGCTCGAATCAATTAACAAACGAGCCTATGTATCAAGCTCGAGCTTGGCTCAAAACTCGGTTTAAACCAAGCTCAAATGGCTCGTGAGAAGCTCAGCTCGTGGCCACCAATAAACTTAATTTGATGCGTCTACCAGTCTATATAGATCATAGTGTCCATATGGGAAGACTTTCATGCAGCAGCTTTTGGCAAAAGCAGAGGTCGGTTCCACCTAAACAGCCTATAAGCAATGTTTGATGAAAATCGCAGGAGCCCAGATGAATGTTTGAAAGCTATGACATAGCTTTCGGATGAAGGTTTCTCCAAAGCAGTTCGACCAACTAACGCTTCAGCCCTCCCAAACGGATCCTCGCCCTCAATTATGGACTTTTTTGAAGGCTCCTTAGAATGCCTAGCGTTCTTTGGAAAATTGTTGCTTCAAGAAACTAATCATGGAACTGCAGGTATATGAGAGACTTTGGTTGTTCCATCTGCACTTCTGGTCAGGAAATAGTGAAGCCTCTCTTCTTTACAATGTCCATCCATTTTGACTTATCCATTGAGGTTTTCAGGAGCATACACTTCTTGTGGCTGTTAGAAGTTTGTGAATGGAGGCAAACGTAATTACAAATGTCTTATGAGATGATTGCACAGAATGGAGTACTTGTCAAGCATTAATTGGGATATTTTCTTTTCCCTTTCTCTGTTATATATGATTAGTTGAGGGTGCTCTGCTTTGCAGGGACTGGATTGTAATTGTAATATTGCTATTTGCTATATTAAAAAAGACAATGATAAGAAATTTATATAAAGATTTAAAAGAGATCATCATGTGTTCGTTTTTTAAATATTGCTTCAGCAAAGCATTTCATATAAAAGAACACGATCATACAGTGATAGTTTCGAGTTCTACTTCATAGTTGCCCTTTGTTTTACATCGAAAACTCCTAGTTGACTCGGACGATAGGACCATTCGGCCCAGAAACCGTCCAGGCAACCAATTCCATTTTACCCCAAACCCAGTCCCTGGCAAAAAATCGTTGAATCAGTCAATGACCCGTTGACCCGAGTAATCGAATCATCGACCCGTTCAATGGTTTTTGGCCATATTTTATTTTTAAATTTTTGTTGTCAGAACGGGCCATCCGTTCGAACCGGACGATCATAGGAAGGGTGGACATTGCAATGGATTCCAAAATCTTGAAAGATAAATCCAAAGTGACCTTAAACACAAAAACAAAATAGTGGTAAATCCACTAAACTAGAAAATGCAAAGAAAAAAATAAAAAAATCAAGTCCACAGTTTCGCTTTAAGATGGAGCTAAACACATGCAATCAAAGAAAGAGACAAAACATATCATCTTGTAAGAAAATTAAAAAAAAAAACATTGCACAAGAAAACCCAAAGAAAAAACAAAAGGGAAGAAATAAAATGGTGGTAAACCCTAGAATGTTTTGGAGGATCTTGAAGAAGAAGACTAAACACGAAAAAAAAGCAGAAAATGAAAAAAAAATGAACATACCACACATGCTCAAATAAAGCCCACAGTAGAAGAAACATTTGAATAGTGAAAATCCAAAAGCATAAAAAACCATGAATTTCGAACCGTCGTCAACTCGGACAATCGAGCATTTCGGCCTGGGAACTGTCTAGGCATCCGGTTTCATTTTACCCCAATCCCGGTCCCTGGCCAAAAATCGTTGAATCAGTCAATGACCCATTGACCCAGGTGGTCGAACCGTTGAATCGTCGACCTGTTCAGTGGTTTTTAGCTGTTCTTTTAATTGGGAACCGTCCAAGCAACCGGTTCCGTTTTATCCCAATCCTGGTCCTTGGCCAAAAACCGTTGAACCGGTCAATGAACCATTGACTTGGGTAGTCGAACTGTTGATCTGATGACCCGTTCAATGGTTTTTGGCCTTTTTTTATTTTTTAATTTTTGTTGTCAGAACGGTCCGTCCGTTCGAACCAAACGGACGGACTGTCGTTATTTTATTTTATTTTTAATTGGGAACCATCCAGGCAACTGGTTCCATTTTACCCCAATCCCAGTCCCTAGCCAAAAATCGTTGAATTGATCAATGACCTATTGACCCGAGCGGTCGAACCGTCGACTCGTTGACCCGTTCAATGGTTTTTGGCCATTTTTTTATTTTTTTTTAATTTTTGTTGTCAAAACGGACCATTTGTTCAAATCGGATGGTCGAACCATCGACCTGAAAACTAATGGCCAAAACGGTTTTGTTTTCGGGTCGTATGAGTCACACGCTCGAATGACATAATATGTATGATATTGCTTAATAGACCTCACATACTCAACTTTTTGCCTATAATTTTTGTTGTCAAAATGGGTTGTCCGTTTGAACCAGACGATTGAACCGTCGACCCAAAAACTAGTGGACATAACAATTTTGTAATTTTTGCCTGTAATTTTTGTTATTAGAACAGGCCATACGTTCGAACAGGACAGTCGAACCATCGACTCAAAAATCAATGGCTAGAACGGTTCCATAATTTTTTGCCTATAATTTTTATTATCAGAACGAGCCATTTGTTGAAACAAAACGATCGAACCATTGATTTAAAACCAGTGGTAGGTAAGATATATAAAATTCCTTATGTTTGTTTTTTATAATTTAAGAATTTTCAATGAAGAATCTTTTATATATATATATATATATATATTAAATGGAAATCTACGGGGGTGATAAGAGAGGAAGAGAGCAATAGGACAAAAAAAAATTGAGAGAACAGGGTGGAAGAGTCGCACGTTGGAATAGGATATCATGTGCTTAAACAATGAAAAACCTCACACGCACACCTTATGATCATTCGTAGAGATGCAATTTACTGAACATCCAGTCTGCCACCAATCCATGTTTTATATTAATAAATCTATATAAATTACATGAATCAAAACCGACCATATATGAACATCTTTCTCTATTTAGGGTTTTATAATAAATTTAGCTGGGATTATGGAATTCCATGGAAGGGATGTCTTTCCCTGGTAGGAGTGGAAAAACGAACCACAGGATCCCATGCATCTACGTACGAATCAGATGGCCCTAAATAATTCAATATATTCAGCCGAACAGAAAATGGGATAATTGATTCAACCATAGGGTTGTGACAAACTATATTCGGTGCCTCCTTATTATATTTTTCTTGTTAATGATCTTTGTAATTATTGCAGCTTGATAAACTGATTCAGAGTAAAATTTTCATTCTTCATCTGGTGTCCATATAAAAATATCTTTCCTCGCAGCATGATAAACTCATATGTAGCAATTACTCACTGCTCTCACGCTCTGATCGTGGTAGATAATGCAAATTTGCTTTCATCTTCTAAAAAAATATTAAATTCTTAGTGCTTGAAACTTCGGTATTTTTTTCTTTTTTGGCCCTGAATCTTATGGTTCAGGGCTTTACATTAACACCTGAAAATTTGGACTTTGTTTTTTCTTTTTTTCTTCACATATTTTTGCATGAAATCCGCCACACCATAGCCTCAGATCAGTGTATTCAACTTACTGGTGGCCATTAAGGAAAAATTGGTGGTAGGGTTCCCCAATAAAGGTAGAATAAATAGAGTATCACATGGACTTCATTAAAGTTGATTAAACCAAGTTTTGCAGTAGAAGATATGTGAAGCAAACTTATAAACCAGTGCAAAGCAATTCCTTTCTTCCCTACTTGACTTTCTTAGCTGACAAGCTTAGAATCCGTCTCCCTTATATATAAATCACCCATGTCAAAGCCTGCAAAGCATAAAAGTTTCTATCGCAACCATGTCGACCTATGATTCATCATCAGATTCTGACGAACATCCAGCGACCTCTATAAAACTCTTCGGTAGACAAAGACCTCTACACGCCATTCTTGGAGGAGGAAGAGGTATTTAATTTCTCGGTTGCTCTAGCTCTCTTGTTCTAAAGCCAACAATATAAGTAGGCCCATGTTTTGATCCAGGCCTTCGTTACTGAAAATTCTCAACAGTAATGTCTGCTTATCAGTATTCAATATTGTTAGTGGGTATCCATATGAGCTAAGTGAGTAAGTAGGAGTTGTATGAAAGAAATGCACATAAATATCCATGCAGTTACAACATTCTCCATCATCTATTCCTGTGCTAAACCATCCTGAAAGTCTGAAACAACGATTGTTTTTGCAGCCGCGGACGTTTTGTTATGGAGGAACAAGAAAATATCAGCTGCAGTCTTGATTGGAGTCACGTCGGCATGGTTTCTTTTTGAGGTTGTTGAGTATAACCTTATTACACTTTTATGTTACCTCTGCATCACCACCATGATATTTGTCTTTGCTTGGTGCAACGTTGCACACATCTTCTTGAGTCGGTAATCTCCTCCCACTTTGTGGCTTATCTTCTGCTTTTATATCAATAGTGGTAGAAATGATAACTGTGATAACAGTCATCCTTTGCACTGTGCAATCTCTGCTTGGTTTGATCGATGAGCTCTCTTATTGCAGTCCTCCAGAGATTCATATCAATGAGCTCATATCGGAGTCCAGAACCAAAGAAATCGCTTTGATCTTCCGCACAAAACTCAACAGTTTCTTGTCAATCCTCTATGATATTGCAAGAGGGAAAGATATAAAACTATTTATTTTGGTATCTGATTCTTCTTTAATATCTTTCCTTCCTTTCTGTTTCAAGTTTCTTTCACAAGTTTTAATTAATAGTTCATATTATGTTTGTTTTCCAGTTCATTGCCTTCCTTTGGATAGTCTCTGCACTTGGGACCTATTTCAGCACTCTGAATCTTCTTTATCTTGGTAAGATGGAACCGGGTTTATTCTATTTTCTGAAATATTCATCCCAAAACTAAACTAGTTGTTCTTTGCCAATGTATATAAAGGCTTCCTATGCATTCAAACACTGCCTGCTTTGTACGAGCGTTATGAACATGATGTGGATCAATTTGCTAGCAAGGGGAACCGAGACATGAAGAAATTCTATCAGAAACTTGACTCCAAAGTTCTTATCAAGATTCCAAGAAGACCAGTCAAGAAAAATTAAATCAATTAAACCTTTTAGTGCGTGTTTGGAAATGATTGTTCAAAAATTGTTACACAAGTTTTACGATTGTTCTTGCAAGATCTGAAGATGTTCCATGAAAATCTGGTGTGGAGTCTCTGTTATTATTCATTCTTAGGAAATCACCATCTGCATATATACCTTTTTCCTTTCCTTGAATGTACATATTGATGTAATAATAAAGAAATTTATGATTTATGACCAGAACTTGGAATCAACTACAATTTGAGAGAGGAGCAAAGAATTTCCAGTTCCTAGACCGGTTTGTTATTTCCAATTCCAAGGGGATATGATTTAGCTTATGGTGGACCATGAATATCAATTTTCTCAAAGAAGATGGTGTAATTAGAGTTAATAACACCTCACAAGTAAAGCACAAAAAAAACCCTTGCAGGGTAGCTAAAACTTCTCAGTGATCACACTGGGTAATTCACCAAGATGCTCTCAAGTCAGCAGTATCTTAGTATATTTCTTTCTGTCAGATTTGTGGAATTGCTCTGCAACCTTAATTTTGCTAAATATCTTGTTCAAAACTATCCACTGCATCTCAGTAGTCACTTGGACATGAATGATTCACTTATTTCAGCCAGAAAGATGGTCTACTGTACAGAAGTCCCTTCCAGACTGCTGTCAATTAAGACTTAATAACCTCAAAAATACATATTTTTTATTTTTTTAATCTAAAAGTCCCCTTCATTTATCTGAAATTTTCTAAAACTTACCCTCACCTCACTTTTTTTTTTTTGAGTGCTACCCTCACCTCACTTTTAGATACCTCTAGAGACCCCCTGCCAAACACTTGTATATAGAACATACCTACCTTCTCACAAGTCACCATCAGTTACAATAAAAGGAGTGGTTGACTGCGTCATTGTTATTTCTTTAATCACAAAACTAATCCTAACTGACCAGTCAGCCCTCTCAACTAGTTTTCGTAAGACAAAAAAGGCCCTGGTGAACTAGAGACTCTGCATCAAAATCAACCAATGATAATAAATCCATATCCATTTGAACATAGAACAACTATAATGAGTTAATGGATATATTTGGGAAGCCTCTGTGACATTTCCTTCTCTAGAAATCATGAACTTTCTCTTGGTCCATTGAGTGAGGAATGGACTATACATCAAAAGTTACATGAAGAAGTACCTCAGTACATTGATGAATACTCAGATACATTTGCATCCCTTGCCTCTATTAGACAATAATGCTGGTCTTATCCTTTCATTTTGTTGGTAGTGGACCGACCACACAAGCAAGAGAGAGCTCCTAGTTATTTATTGCAGATCAAGAGGACTGAGGGAATTGATTATGGACAGACTTCCTATTCCACCATGGATATGGCATATAAGCTCATCAACTCCAGAATTGAGCCTCTCCAGCACATGTTAGCATCCTATGGTGGTCCTTCCCATTAAATGAAGAGAGCTAGTTATAATAATAACCACTGCTTGTTTCTTGGTAAAACTGTGTCTTGGAGACGGAGCTTTCTTGTTGCTGTCACCACTGAGCCTAAGCCAGTCAATACTAGACCTTCTTAGAACTCCACTGCTGAAGCATTCCTATGGAGTTTCTATAGTAAAGTCCAAATAAAAATTGTAGAATCCCTAATTTAAAAGGGTCACTAATTATTACCATTTTTGGGTTGACTCTGATATTTTCTTCATTCTGGGAATTGGTACAAAAAGGGAATGCCTTGCAAAGAGGTTAAGAGAGTGAGAGCATAACTGGAAGAAAGAAAATGAAAAGTTAGTGATACTCATGAGAGGTCTTTGGCAATAGCAACTAATTCTCCAATGTTGGCAACTCTGATTCTAGAAGAGATAGAGTTTAGGTTTGGCATATTGTTTGCTTGTATATCAAGTGAATGGACAGTCAAATAGCTAACTTTGATATTTCGGTTTAAAGGAGAGAAATGGGTGAGGATATTATGGTAATCTTAAAGATTCCATCCATCTTCTAATGGTAATTATTTGACAGGGGGGTCTCTAGAGGTACCTAAAAGTTAGGGTATATTATAGAGAATGCCAGATAAGAGAAAGGGAGTTTTAGATAAAAATCATATTTGTATATATAAAAGAAATTAAAAATAATGGATTCAAAAGAGATTATTCCAGAAACTCATACCCAACTGACCAAGGTTCAGAGTGAAGCAGAGACATATGAATAAAGTACATGAAAACTGTTTCTTACTTGAACTGCTGCCTGCCTACTCATCATGCATAGGATAATTGGGCAATGCATTACCAATCAGTAATCAAGGATAAAGGTTACACGCATCATTGGCATTTTAGAACTTAATGCTATCATTCAGGAAAGCAAGATAAAACATGTAAAAGAATCAACATTTATCAGCATGATAACAAAAAAATAAAAATTAAAAAACTTACAAGACTTGACCTCTGAAATAGCATGCATGAAGCACTTGTCGTCCCATATGTGATAAACTTGAAGGGACAAAGGGAAAGTAAGAAAAGCTCTAAGATCACCCTTAATTCCACTTATTGATAGTTCCTATAATTCTCAGCATATGCCAAAGCCTAGATTCTGCTTGTCTTGAAAGACTAACTCTGGGAAGCAAATATGAAAGTGAACTTGGTGTTGAAATGGATGTAGTAGGTAATGCTAAGGATAGTTTCAGAGGAATAAAGGGTATATTCACTTCATGGACAATGGATATGGCAGGAAAAACTCCTGGAACTTGGCAATTCTGGCAAACTTGTAACTCTTGCCAGTGATAGAAGAGGATTCACTGAGGGGAATGAAATCAAGGGAAGATCTAAGGGACAGTTCTAAACAAGCATTCCTATTCAAAAACCCATTTCCATTCTTGAACTCATGGATATGAATTGAGAAACCTGGGATGTTGTAGGATGTGATCTCTGTCTGGTGACATTCATTGAGCTTGGCACAAGCCACCTTAACCCATGGACATCATTTGATGAACAAAAAACAAAATCAAATGTAATGTATATTTTGGTATATAAAATGTAATGCATGAAATCTTAGCAAAGTATCACTAATACAACAGTAAAATCTATCCTTCAGAACAGAATTCCTTTACCTCATGTTGCAGTTGAAGGTATTTAACTTTTTAATATATTGAATGACATCAGCATTCATCAAGCACTGAAAGTCTGACTTAAATTCAGTTTATCAACTTCAGTTGTGTATGTAAAAAGAATGATGATATTCAAATTAATGAATATCATTAGTAATCACTATGGAAAAGCATTGGCAACTGAAATTCAACTTCTAAGTTACAGTCCTATTCATGATGTACAAATTTTCTAGCCCCAGGCACAGGAAGATTGATATGTTTACAGTGGAAAAAGAGGAAAAAAAAACAACAGCAGAACCATGAAAATAAGAAGCTACAAGTATACCCAAGAAAAATGAACTGAGTTCAGAACAGAATTCCTTTACCTCATGTTGCAGTTGAAGGTATTTAACTTTTTAATATATTGAATGACATCAGCATTCATCAAGCACTGAAAGTCTGACTTAAATTCAGTTTATCAACTTCAGTTGTGTATGTAAAAAGAATGATGATATTCAAATTAATGAATATCATTAGTAATCACTATGGAAAAGCATTGGCAACTGAAATTCAACTTCTAAGTTACAGTCCTATTCATGATGTACAAATTTTCTAGCCCCAGGCACAGGAAGATTGATATGTTTACAGTGGAAAAAGAGGAAAAAAAAACAACAGCAGAACCATGAAAATAAGAAGCTACAAGTATACCCAAGAAAAATGAACTGAGTTACCATCAGAATGATAATGTACAATGACATAAACAGCAAAATATGACAAGAAAAATAAAAATGAAATACCAACAGTTAAGCTGCATTTAGATTAAAATGAATCGTGTTTCCTAGAGCTAGATGCAAAATCCACAATCAATCCTTTGGAAGACAGCTATTGAGGCTGTGTTTGAACTACTACAGAATTCGGGATTAGAAACAGAGTGAAAATCCATTCTGTCCCAAAATCAGTGGATCGACAAATCTAAACAAAGTACCTGCATTTTTGCAAATTTCCAGATTCAGCTGTGCCATTGTTGGATCCAAACAGCAGACCCCAAAAGTTGCTGATTAATCTGAGATTCTACCCACAGTTCTGCTTTGACCTAAGCACAAGCACATTCTTGGAGACCTGAAAAGTCGGACAGTGTAATTTACCAAGCTTAACAAAATCTAGATAGAATATCCAAGCCGACATCATCTTTGACTCATGTAGTTATTATGATCACGCATCATATGCAGTCAGTCTCACAGACCTGCTAAATTCTTACAAAAAGTTGAATAGTGTAATCTGAATACCAGTTGATTACTAAGGAATTTGAAAACTATCGCATGGGCATTCTTCACAATAGTAATATTTGCATGAATGTTTGGGTTTCCTAAGAAACTGAAACCATAACCACCAACGATGGGTTGGATTGGTGGTGCATAGGAGCATTTTTAACAGCTAATAATGAGTAGAAGTTCTGAGGCACCAATATTCTAGACACGAAGGACCTAATATAAAATTCTAGTGGTTAATATAATGAACAAGTGCCCTGATACATACAAATCTAATAACGGATTAGGTTGCAATGCAAGATTTTTTTAAAAGATTCTACTAAAAACTGATTTAAGAGACCTGAAGGAATTAGTCAGCTAGACAGGGCACTTTATCTTGTACGTTTATACTCGCGTTTCCACTGCCATAAAGTTTCATCCAAAGCTAGTACAGTAGGCATATTTATATTGACTAAAATCAAATAATATAAGAAAATAACAAGCAAATAATTATGGAAACAATTGGGTACAAGTTCCTGAAAGGTTCTAATCCTTTCATTTATTCAATCCCTTCATCTCTGTTCCAAAAGAACCCTAATATGATTACCAAAAACAAACCCATCAAAGAAAACAAAATGAAGGTACAAAATCAAGCTATCTCCATTTCCTCGCCCTCTCAAACAAGTTGTGCATCTCGATAGTCCTATTACGCTTACGAGAAGTAGAAGGCTATTTTCTTCTCAAATCTTCCCCATCACTTCAATCTCCTATAACCCAAAGTTAAAGAGCAAACTAACATACCAAAAAGACTGGGAAAAGTAACGTTTTTTCATACAACTAGAAGATCAGAAAGAAAGCATTCAGTCAATAAATCTTACATCGCTACTTTGAGCACTTCGTCTTTTGCTCTCACATGAATATTCCTTATCCAAACCAAGCGAAGATTGGAGATTTGGGTCCAACTGCAGCTGGGTTTTTTTATTGGTGATTGGTCAGGATTGAGTTCCGCATCCGACAAAACCTTGAAAATATGTGGAAACTAATTTGTGTAGATTATTCTAAAAATCCAAGTACTAGAAGTTAGAAGTTTGGAACCATTAAGTAGGCTTGGTGACATGGGGATCGAGAATCACAATAGCGTCTCCAATCTCCATGATTCGAGCTGGTTGTGAGTCGTGAAGCCCCAACCCGGCACTAGACGATTCATGTTAAAGCAGAGGATGCTACTTTCAAGAGACAAGAAGAACAATATTCTGGTAGAAGAAAAGGGAGTGAGAATGAGAACAATGTAGACGTGTCTTTGTTTTGCTTTCGACACATGGGATGCGGGTACCAACAGAATAACGACTTTAGAACCGAAAGCAAAACCAGAGGACTATTATCCAATGTACAAATTGGCGGGAATACTGAAAGAATCAAGTAAGATTTCTGGAGAAATCAGAAATGGGCAAAGGGAGCCCCCCTTTGTTTTGCTTTCAGTGAGTCACGATGGTTATCCTTATCCAAAATATCCAAGATTCTTTGTCTTTGTAACTCTTGTTTCGTCAGTTCAATTGTAAGCAAAGCCTTTACGTATTAGTAGCTTTTTGACTCGAAATTTTCAGCCAAATCGAGATCGCGTTTGTTAAAATCAGATGAGTGAAAATCATGTTAAAACCAACGTAATTTTGGATGGGTTGGATTTGAGTCGAAAGAGACCTCACCTTGGCCATGCAATGACTCGTTAACGACAGCTCCAAATTTCCACTGCGAATCTATTAACATTCAAAATGTCAAAAATTTCCACCCTAATACCTATACATCAATACCCACCCTTGAATTATTATCAATTCCGAACCGACACTTACCCCAATTATACTTTGGGCCTAAAAATTCTGACCCTATCTGAATCGTCATTCTTTCGACCCTGGGTCAGACAGGTCGACCATTCAATCAAACAGATTGATGGATTGTTGACGAAATCAACTGTTGTTTGTAATATAACTGCTTAGTGGTTACAGGTTAACTTCAACCAAGGTTAGGATTGGGTCAATAGTCTGACTGGCTGGGTTAACGAATAAATGAAAAACACTGTCCTCTTTTTACTCTCAATAATGTTTTTTTTTAATAAATAAAGAATGCAACATATTATAATTTTATAAGATTTAAAAAAAAACTAAATAAAATAAAAAGGCAAAAGGTTAAAAATATCATCAATACTTTGGACCTTACTAAAAAGAAGTTATTTAAGGGTCTGTTTGGTTTGAAGTCGAAATTGGAATAGGAAGTGGAATTGGAATCCTTTGGAATCACAATTAGAATAGTCTGTTCCCATGATATGTTTGGTTCAAACAGGAATGAAAATGAAAATTGAAATCATCATGAATAGGATTTCATTCCCAAAAAAGGGGCAGGGAATGGTCATTCCCTCAAATAGGGGAATGCCATTCTAGCGAGAATGAAAATGGGATTCCAATTCCATCCAACCAAACAGTTGGGATCAAAATAGCCCATTCCAATTTCAATTCCAAATCCCTATTCCCGTGAATCAAACGGAGCCTAAATAACAACTACATTAGCTTTTCAATAAAAATAAAAAAAAGGCAATTTCCTAGTGATTTCAACAATTTGGAAATTAATAAAGTCCTCTTTAATCAACTTATTTCTAATTGTATTATTGGTAGTCTTGTCACCTTTATGTGGGCCATATTGTCTTCTAATTTCCTAGCAACACTTTCCACATATTGTAAGGCTTACATTTCATCCTAATCTGCTTTGCAAAGAGAGAAGCAGTCAAACATTTGATGGTCCTTACTTAGGATGCAGTTGGGTTAATTAAACCATACGTGTGACCTCTATCCTACTAACCAATCAATGCTCGAGCCTGTTGAGGCTTTTCTAATCATGTTGATTTTGTGTTTAAGCACTTTTGTAGGTGGGATTCAACCATTGGGCCCATACAAAATTTGATAATACGAGATATGGTGATAGACGGGCCCCAGATTCCAACTACCGCTGCACAACAGACTACTCGTAAATGCGAGTTGGGCCCCCATGACATTGTCATCTGCTCCATGCTTTAAGCAAGGTGGGCCCTAACATCCAGTACAGCTTAAATGGATATCAAGTTATCGACCACCAGCTTGGTTCATAAAACCCCAAAAGCTATACTTATAATACATGCTATATCTCAATTGGAAATTGGAACACGCACACACTCGTACATGTTTGATGCTCTACGACTACGTGTAAGTCACTCTTCATCTTCCCAAGTGGAGAATTCAACTTCAACCTAGGAGGAGGAGGCATTAGAACGCAACTTAAGAGGCTGGAATTTTTCTCCTTTAAATTGTACTTCTGTAGTTGGGACTTGGGAGGTTCTTCCATCTGTCGAGCCCCTTTCTCTATGGGATGGATTATGGATAGTGTGCCACACATCAAGCCCACTTCATCCCACTGCCTTGGTCCTTGTTTGGCCCAAAAGGAGCATTTGTCATCATAGATATGAGCATATGATCAAATGACTACAGTCTACAGCCTCCAATTATTTTTCAACTTCTTTAGTGATTTCTGCTACATTGATTTCTCTTGGCACAAAAGCAAGCAGTTGCAGTCAGTGTTCCAAGTTGATTTCCTGACCTTGGCACAAAAGCAACCATGGTTAATTGGGTCCAGTAACCAGACAGCCCCAATTAATTCAACACAAACACGCAAACAAGAGGAGAAGAAAATAAAAACAATAAAACTACACTTTGTTGTACTAAGGACATAGATTTATTATTGCTATGTTATTAGATTTTTTAAAAGAAAATAAATATTCCATATTTAATAATTAAATTCATAGAAAATATGCAATAATTGGGGGGGCTATAACTTGAAAGTCCAGTCCAGGCCCACAATCGTTTCCTCTCCTGATTCTATTATTTTAAGCTTTCATCCATATTCAGGAATGCACATGCTTGGTTTGGTTTCATCACAACAAGGCCACTACTGTGCTGTTCTCCACCCTAAAGCACCAACTACCCAGTAGCGATGTGGGTATAATTCTCTTATTTCTCAATTAATTATTCATTCCTCGTCAGCAGCTTATATTAGTTGGGGTTTGCTAACTATCTATTACTCTAGCATATATAATACCCAAAATAACTCTCTAAATATCAGGTTTCAGGCCCATTGAAATGGTGGGTCCTCCTGCACTACCCAAAATTCACGTTGATCAAAGTGATTTTAATGAGATAAAGTAAATCATCCTAACTACATCTAAAGAATGATCTGGTTTTGATTATTGAATAAAAATATAAAATATATCTGGTGGTCAGAAAAATCTCGACAGGGTGAATCTTGGTATTTAGCCTATGCAAACGAGGCCCAACCCAACTGAGCCTATATAATTAGTAAAAAAAATAAGAAGGAAAAAAAGTTATCATAGATATATCTAGGGTTAGTCCAAAGTTTCCAGTTTCCACATCTGCACTTACAAAAAGAAAAATCTAAATTATAGGGGTGCAAGTGCAAGTGAGGAAAAAGTTGTTGCTTTTTTGTTGTTAATTATTATTAGAAACTTCATTGTCAACAGACAACTAGTTTAAAACTCAACAATAATTGTGAGAAAGGACAGAATGAGGAGGCCATCTTAGACTAAAAAAAGACTTGCTTGGATTTTGTGTAATGGATTGTCATCCTCCACAGTCAACAAACTTCATGGGAACAGTTAAAAAGGAGCTTTTATCTTCCATGGATCATTTGTGCTTTTTTAAGTTGGCTTTGGGAGGCTTCCATGGAGTGACCAACTATAAAATAATAAGACTGAACCAGGCCCAACCTCCCCAAGTTAAGCATCAAACTGCGATCTACAAGAAAGGCCTTTCTGTAAGGGTAGTTGCATTATTAGGAGATATGGACTGATCATCTTTTTGACAAATTACAGTGGGATCTGCTGAGTGCCAACCCACCCAATCACCAATTGTCAAAATTACTATTGTGTACCAATTTCCAATGAAACAAAGAAAAGAATCACATAAAGTGTGGGAAGTGTCGATGTACACAAAAGAAGACTGAGACACACAGAGACAGAAAGAGACACAGAGATTCCTCGCAAATAAGTGAAACTTGACAAGGATAAGAAGGCAATGGGGGGGGCTCCTCATTTCACACACACACATACAACGAAGGTGAGCGAGAGAGAGAGAGAGAGAGTCCAGAGAGAGAGAGATGGCGAGGGAATGGAAAGAGGTTGTAGTTGTGCTTGGAGACACAAGAAATAGTGGTGTAGGCTCCCCTGCTCTACTGTTCTGGGTGATTCTGGTCACCCTTTCTCTCATCTCAGTTGTCATCTTCTCCTGTGCAGATGGTGCATCTAAAGACCGAGCTGCCGCGGCCGAATCACACATGTACGCCGGAGGATGCTCTGGTGGGTGCGGTGCAGCCTGTGGAGCATAGCATCCCTGACCCACTACATACTGATACTCCCATCGCTTTACCAGAAAGGTGGCAACTGGAAAAAGAATCAATTCAACCAGGGCCCTCCTATTCAAGTTCCCTTCCTTGTTTTTTGTTCTTAATTTGCAAACTCCATTGCCTTGAGCTGGCTCACAAGTCCAGGGTCGGAGTTTCTTGGGGATGTGGTTGATAGTCATGGTTGTTTTATTGGTTCCAATAGGTTTCATTGCTTTCTTATTTTCAAAGTTATATATGTCCTCATTTTTTTGTTACTGGCTGGACTGAAATGGATTAATAAATTCACCCATAGTTTCTCAACAGATGTTTTGAGGTCCAATACTGTAATAATGGAATTAGCTTTACAGACTTGCTCCATTTTGTAGCCATTTTCCCACTTCTTATTAGCACTGGATAATAAAAACTCGCCACCGACCACGTTTGGTCATTTTTTCCATGTTTTCATTCCTTGTTTCCACCGACTAATAGAGAAAAAAAAAAAAAACTGTGACTTTCTAATTGACGGTTGGTCCAAGAAACAATACGCGGTCAAACCTTTTTTCTTATATTACTTCTCCCATGTTTGCATCATGCAGAGGATAATTGCTTTCTCCATACTAAGGAAACAATCAAAGGCAAACTAACAACTGTCTGGCTGAAAGTTGGTTCAAACTTCAGGGCATCCTTGACCCCCTGCTCTCTCTCTCTCTCTCTCCCTTGGTGGAACTGAATTTGCAATAGCCAAGTTGGTGCACTGGGTTCAGTTAGCCAAATTCATAGTTCGTGGGGATTTTGTTGAACATACCTTGAGAATGATCTTGAAAATTCTCCAGTCATCTAATGGTTTATGGTCTCTTCCATCCTAGAGGAGCCTTTCTAGTCTCTTCCTTACATTTTGGGTGGTCTTTGATCGGTTCAGATGGTAGTGCTTTTGTCCGTCTTTGACAGTTCCATAGGGTGCAGATTCGACCAAGGTTGAGGAAGTTACGCTACTTACGGATCAAAGAGGTATACTGCCAACCCAAGAAGTTTCGTATCTTCTCCTTGGCAACCGGATGAGATCCAACAGCATACGGAGCAATAGGTTTGGTTTAATTTGCACTAGTCCAAATACATGAGAGTGCAAATAAGAAAAAAAAAATTCTGCTCTGCTTTTGTTCCATTTTCACCTTATTTTGTTTTAGGTTTTATTTTACTTCATCTGCACTACAAATAAACAAAAGTATCATGAAAGTTAAAACCAAAATAAATCAGAATTTACATTACACACCCATACATTAATACCAATGCAAATAAATTTTGCCTGCAAACAAATTAGGCCTAAATATCTGAATTGAATTGCCATGATCTAGCAAAGTTGCATATGGAAGGCATTTCTTCTTCTTCTTTTGCTGCCGCTGCTGCTGTAATGATGTAAGAGTGTAGGGCAGTTTACATCCTCTCATGTACACAGTACACAACTTTCATCTTTTATTCTTAGAATGCAAATTTGCTTAGGCTCAGTGTGGGAGGGGTACACATACAAATATGTAGAGCGCAAAACCTTATATTTTGTATTATTTTATATGTATCTGCACAGTACAGATTTGTATTTGTTCTCCTTCCAAATCGAGCCTAACCGAGAGAAGGCAAAGGAAAAGGAGAAAAAACGTTAGAAAGCACTAGCAGTAAGCTGTTGCATGTAGTGAGTCGTTTGACAAGTCCATTTGAATTTCAGTATTAAATCATCTTTTACTTGGTAAACTGGGGATACGGCATATTTTCTTAGGAAAAAAATACAAAAAAGAAGGTGAGGAGAAGGTAAATTGAAACAGCTTTTCAACCATCTAGAAATGTCACGGATTAGAGAGGCCATTTAAATCCGCCAAAAGATGCCTGATACGTTCTGTTAAAAGGGGTTGTACCAGCTACTGATGTATGTGGTACTAGACTAACAGTTAGTTACTACTCACACCCAGCTCAATAAACAACACGTATTGGGGCAACCCCATCTGTTGAGCAGGTTGAACGTTGAACCTAACAACTTGAGCAGTTGCGCCACAGTGCTTCCTCAGTTTCTCTTTAGGTTCAACCTGTTCAGCTAGCAATGTTGTGCACCCATCATTCTCTCAGAACCAAAATCATCATCTATAAGTGGCCAAAAACTTGTGAATTTATCATATTACCAGAGAAGATGGCAATAGAGAATAAGGAGCAATGAGCAATGGCATCATATTTGCATTTTTTGTCCTCATGCTCACTTTGGAACATCCTCTGCCTTACTGTCTTGCATGCATGAATCACTGGGACGTCCATAATGGATGAGGATGAATGAATTTTCCAGTGAGAGATCATATTCCCTACCTTTTTATGCAAAACCTCTCTGCTGGTATTGAGATAAGCATGTCCTGCAACTCCTCCAGACTGACAGAATCTTCAAAACCAGAAAAAAAAAATTATAAAGAAATTAATTAGTTTGCATGGAAAAAAGGAAAGTGAAATAATACAGCAAGCTTTGGAACCTAAATGCATCCTGTTCCGTTGCAGCCACTCAGTATCTCCAGTGTCCTAGTGTAACCTCCAGTTCTCTACCATGACCATGGTAGTATGGCTGAAATTGCAAGAGTGGTTTTTGTAAGAGCTGATATAATTATCAGCTATCTTTCCACCTGGACAATTCCCTCTTTTAAATTACTAAGCTAAGCAGAGTACAAAACTCTCAAGAGTCTGCAAGTTTCAAAGTTGGTTTTGAGGAAGCTTCTAAACCAACTTTAGGAATGTATAACACAGTTAATTGATGTTTGGAAACTTGTTGCAGATGACTAAACACTTTATTTGCACGCCTACAGAAAAGTAATTTAATTACTTGATTAAAGGCTCTTTAACTCTGCATTCCTGCATATATCACTGTGAAAAATGAATTTTACCACTCTAACAACAAGGACATATCGTCAATCATATTAAGAGCCCCAACGTGGACAGAGGACACAAAATCAAGTGTATGCTTAAACTCTGACCTTCCTCACCTTTCACTTAGTCTTAGAGGTGGTAAAAACCAATGCCCAGAATATTTCCAAAATTGTCAAGGGGCTCCAGAAATTGTCTTTTCACTTTTAAAAGAACTCCTGTGTCACACATTTCACCGATATATACCAAGTATTACTGATCAAATATTGAGACGGAGAGAGAGAGAGAGAGAGAGAGAGAGAATAAGTGTTGATATTTTGGAAATTTCCGGTAGAGATGAGAGATGCTCCAACTAAAATGACCTAATTTTCCATTAAGAGAACCAAAAGGTTCTGAAGATACATCTATTATCTGGTATGAGACACTGACACTAAGAAGGTTTCTCATACAAGTAGTACAAAGTACCATTTTATTATTGTTTTGCATTACAAATCTGCAACCATTGAATTTCGGAAACATAACTATAATAAAACTTGATGGAGGATAAAGAAGTTCTGATGATGTTTTGGCCCATCTTCAGTCATTTTCATGATTTTGTTGGCTTATTTTCTTCAAACTTCAATAGTTATGATGTTTGGTCTTGCTTACATCTGATCATTGTTACTGAGTCTGAAGTTGAGTAGTCAGTGCTCTGTTATGGTCAAGCCTTTTATGGCTCTTGACTTACTTTGATAATCAAGATTTAACTCTCTAAGCAGTACCATGGTGCTCTCCAATTACTATCCTTATGGTACCATCCATCATGCCCATGGTACACTCTCTAAGCAGTACCATGAAGGCTGAGGTTTTGCCAAATAAATACCAAATCAAGAAACTTGTGCCAAGAGTCTTGAATAAAAAAAGGTTGAGAAAAAGAATAAATGGAGGAGAAATGCCTATGGACAGTTAATCACTTTAGTGACCAAAGACAATCTCATTATACTTGAGATAAAAAATAATTATGTTTGTACAATGAGTTCTGATTGGGCACCAATTAATATGAATATGCAACCAAACTTTGAGAGGTAGATCTACGAAACATCATCATCAAAAAGGAAAAAATGCAAAGGAATTCTTATTTAATAGAAGCAATGGCAATTTCTGTTGCAGGATTAGAGATATGAATGCTAGAATCCAATTCCAATATGAAGTCTTGGAATTACCAGACTACCTCTTCAAATCCCATTCAGAGAGAAATGTTACACAGATTATGGTACATAATGATAGCTATTTGGTTCTCATGAGAAAAATGAAGATCAATCCATAACCAAGACAATTGACAATAAATTTGCCACTATTTCAAACTACAGATTCACTAGGTTATGTTGATTAGATGAAAATCTTACAATGACAATGGAAGCACATTCCAAGATAAATTAACTAAAATGAAACAAGTTAGCCTTTATTGAGAAGAGATGTTGTAATTACATTTTATCCATTTATGAATGACCAACCCTTGATAAGATGTAATTGGGAATTGTACTAAAAATAACTACTTATATGACTAGAGCCCTTGATAAAAGATAATCAGATAGGCCATATATTTAGGCCAACAAAGAGCAAGCAATGCTCTTACCTTACACCACTACAGATCAAAAACAAGGGAGTACAGTTCAAACATTAAAATAAACGAAGTAAGGACTCCAAATCATACAATCTCTCAGTAGAACAACACAATTTACAGAAACAGCATATGTGAAGAGGAAATGAATTGAAAATCATGAGAAACAATACCCGTTATCCCCAAGTTTTGGACGTGTAAAACCTGCTCCAAGATCTTGTAAGCCTATTAAAAAATGTCTTTGTTACAAAGTCGCACAAGTAATAACTGGGTTGTGTTACCTATGCAAAAATAAAACTGGGTTGTGTAAGGCATAAAAATATGGTAAAGCCTAAACATGTAACAAGTTGCAGAATACAAGCATACCTCCATTTACCTTGTCTGCTTCTGTATCCATATCCAAACGCAGGTTCTTACATCACCAAGCACAGTCGTTACCTAATAATGACAAGTAGTGCTTCATACATGTAAGCACTTTTTTTCCTAATTCAATAGTGTCCACATTCTTGCACTCATTCTGTTTTCAGAAATGAAGTTTCAATGCAATGCTTCCATTACATAAAACGCAGAGTCAACCAAGAATTATGCAGAAAGTGATCATATACAAATTTCATTAAATCCCAACTCAGAAAAACGCATTGGAGTATTCGTAGACCTCTAGAAGAGATATCAGCTAATAAATATTCAGCTACTAAAACAGCATAAATGTGTCCATTGGGGAAAATTTTAATAAAAAGGCAAGGTTGAGAGCGTTTACCCTGAGTGCCCAGAAATTGTATCGCGGAAATTCTGGAATAAGGGACGGCAGCTTCAAGTTCAAGGACTGTGTTTGAAACTCCAGGGACGGGCATTAACCACCCGAGACAAACCATCGCAGATTGAGCAGAGACAATACAAAAAGGTCTCAGCTCCTGCTCCGCCAGAGAGATGGAGATAGCTGGGGCTTTATTGCATGGCTTCAAACAGGCCCAAATCCAGCCGTCCGTCATCTCGGCGTCGCCCCACTACGCTAACCGCCGAATCTAACTATCCGTCGTGTCTCAAGAATCAAGAGAGTCGACGGAACGAGAATGATGTGTCACTTATAATAATATTAAAATAATATCCAAAACAAGTGTCACGGTTGTCAAGATGGCCGAGTTGGTCTAAGGCGCTAGTTTCAGGTACTAGTCCGAAAGGGCATGGGTTCGAATCCCATTCTTGACAAGTAAATTTTTTTCTCCTCATGCTTCAAACTTCTTCTGATCTATATTTGGAGTAGCAGTTTGGTTCCATTTTTTTTATCCAAATTTAAATTACAAAAACATTTCTTAACAATATGAACACATTCTCATTTCAGGGTATACAAAAAATATTCTCATTTTAGTATTGCTGGGATTCAAGAAAGCCCAGCCTTAATCTGGTACATTTGGTATTAATTCGGATTCAAATCGGAGACAATGGTAGAAGTTAAAAAAAAAAAAAAAAGAAATGGAAAGTATTTTTTAGAAAGATTTTTCAGCAGCCCAGGAGGCCAAAAGATATGTTAAACAAGGTTTTTAAACTCAGACTGGGTAGGGAACCATTTTGGGATTCGGATATCAGGTCGAATGGTCCGAATAGACGGTTTGCTCTAACAAAAAAAAATAAAATATTAAAAAACGGTCAAAACTGTTGTTTAGGTTGATGGTTTGATTGACTAGGTCAGCGGTCTTAATGGTCTTTTTTGACAAAAAGCAGTTTTGAGATAAAATGTAACTGATCAGGTGATTGGTTCCTAGTTTTTCTGGTCCAAATCTGGTCTGATTTTGAAAACATTGTATTAAAACGTTGGATTCTTACTTTTAAATATAAAGACTGTTTAGCAAGTGATTTGGTCTACAAAACTTTTAAAAATGTGTTTATAGGCTATTTATCACACAAACTTCCATACATGCATGCATCTTCTAGTTTTATCAGTTTTTGGTTACCAAATAAAAAAAAAAAAAAAAAAAACCGATTTTCGGTCTGAAACCCATAAGACCATATGGAAGGAATTGACAAAGACTGCGTAAGTCATTGGTCTAATACGAGAGAGGCTAAACTTTGCAATTTTTATGAGCAGCAGAGTTGATACTCTTGGGTACATATCTAACCAAGGCAAGAGAAAGTAGATCAACACAATCCGCATGCTTTATTAATTTATTTCCCTCTTCCATCTTTTCATAGTTTGCTTGAACAAATAATATAATTAAGGAAACTCGATCGGTAAAAGAAACAAATCCCGAGTCGATTAACAACATGGGGCAAAACAAGGAAATTAAGAAAACTCAATGGAGAAAGTGTAATGTGGGTAAGGCCTCCTCGTCCATCGAGTTCAAACCAGCCAGCCCCCTACAAGATTGTCCCTCACACATTTTCACCGTGTATTAGGGGCAAATCTTGTGGGGGGCTGATTTGGTCTCTCATCCATCTACGGAATCAAAGAATTAGAGAGAAAGCATTAACAAATTAATGTGAGTGAAATATATACGTATAGTTAATTTATTATTTCTCTTGTACACTGGCCGGAACTCATCCGCCTTAAACTTAAACATGACATGACCTGACCATCCACAGTGCACTGTTGGTGTTTATCGAACAACAAAACAATTAATCCTGGAAAGTTGGAAACCCCAAACATTCTATAGACAAAACAAAACTCAAATAGTGGGGATGCTCTCACTCCTTAGTCCACGGGTTGGAATTCGGAGTAACATGTTTCTTACACTTACTGCGTCTCAGTTAGTCGACGACTGGGTGAGCGGTCTGCTCTAAAAATTCAATATCGGAAAATGATGAAGAAGCCAGCGGCAACAATCTTAGGGTCCGATCCGCAACATGTGCCCATCAGACGTCGGACGGCATGCCATCCTATCTTGTAAGGTAACTGCACGCAACACCGCACAAGGGACGACGGGCAACAAATGCATAACACGCATGCCCTACCCCTAACCATACATTCAATGACTCGATTGCAACAACACCCTCTAACTCTATCCTGTCCTGTAGCAGTAACAACAAAAGAAGAGGAGGAGGAGGAGGAGGAGGTGGTGGTGAAAGTGGCAGCTATAGCTGTTGATCCCATGTTAAGAGCATCACTGGCTTGCTTTAATTTCTTCGTAATAGAGGCTTGGATTTGATAGATAGATAGAAAGAAAGAAAGCAGGTGAAGGTGGGGGTCACTTCACTTTTGTTAATGGGAATATGCCTCACCCAATGCCAATGCCCTTTTTTGTTGGCCACAATTTTTCAAATGGATCGATTACAGTAGAGCTAGCTCTTTTCCATCCATCCATCCATCATAATCACAATTAAGCAACCTGCTATTTAATGTTAACCACCTCATAACTGATGATATGCATCAAAAACCAAAACCATGTTGGAATTAAGACTAGTATATATAATCTCACAGTCCCATCCTATTGTGTCCGCGTTATGTGCACCGGTGGATTTATTGGACGCGTGAACCCACTAATCTTAATCGACCATGTCACCCAGCCTGCTGTTTCATAATGTTAACGCATGAACCCACTGTTAGTATGATTAGCTGGTTCAACCGACCACAAAAAGAGAAAACAGGACTCTCAAAAACACTCATCCCGCGTTCCTCCTATTTCTCCCTCCCATTTTGCAGAGTTCTGTTGCTTTTTCTCCACCAAACCCTATTCATACACCGGCGACCATACCACAGTGGTGACCTGTACCAGCAGGCTGAGTGTTGACCCACCTTCGTCGTCTGAGGAAAGCTGGAAGCTGCCAGTGTTAACCCACCTTCGTTTGCCTGAAGAACCCTGTCATTGGGTTGCTTCCATCTGTTGAAAAGAGAAAACAACAAGTCCTTTGTAAGAAGAAGAGGAAGAAGAGGTCAGAAAACATACCGCCAGAGTTCTCTTTTTGTGGCCCGGCTAACCCATGTTAACAGCAGATCCAATCTCTCACACGTTAACGTTATGAAACAGCAGGCTGGGCGACGACAGAACACGGACTCCATCCCGTCGTGTATCTCCCCAATACGCAACAAAGGACGAGAGATGATCTCAATACAAGGTGAGATGGGTCGGTCTGTGAGATCTGCGTGAGGTGCGCCCTGTGGGGGAGCAGATCGAGACTCGGCTGAATGGACAAGTAACAACGTATACAATGAAATCTATCAGAATTGAACACGCCCGGTGCTTCACATTGGTCCACGTGAAACCCACACGTCATGGAACACTAGCGTGTTCCCTCTTCATAGGTTGCCTGACACGCTTTGTTTCTACCTTTTTCCCATCCCTTTAAAGTTAAAAGTTAAAATGGCTGCCAGATTATGACCAAAATGTGAGGAATTATGAATGTTAGGGCTGTTATTGGATTTGAAGATCTCGATCATTTTGGGTTTAATCCAACTCTGTTTTAATTTTTTAAAGGTAAAATACAAAAACCTCCGTAAAGTTTTTGACAATAATAAAAACCTTTCCTTTAATTTCATTTTAATAAATATTTCCCTAAATTTTTAAATTTTTTAAAAACTTGACAAAAACCTCCCTCCTATCCTATCACGTTAAACAGCTGATGCATCAATTTTTCAAAATACCAATTCTATCCTTTTATAAATTATTTTACATACAATTTATCGAAATAACATGAAACTAGACAAAAACCTCTTTCAATCTCTTTATTCTCTTTCATTCTCCCATGCTAAACTCCATCGACTACTCAAAGAGATAAAACCCTGTTTGAAGTTCCACTGTCTCAAGACGAGAGGAACCCTGAAAGAATCTTTGTTACTTTCTTTCTCCTCTTTCAATCCTCCATCCCTCCCTGAAACTCGATGGATTGATAAAAATCTTGAGCTTGATAAGCTGCGAGAGATCGAGGTGGCAGAGACACAGGACTCTAACAGTATGTACTCTGTGGAGCATCGACATCTCGAATCTCTGTGCTCCTCTTGTAATCTTTCGGTCGAAAATGATATGCTCTGCTATGATTTATAAAAACAAAAAATGACAGAAATTTTAAAAGAAGAAAATAAACTAGATGTGGTGTCATTTGGTGATTATATAAGCCCTCTGTTCTGTGCACATCAGAAGGTTTGAAGCTTACCAGTTCCACGAGACCGTGTGCATTGTCGTTCTCTCCTTGGCCACCATCTCTCCAGCAAAAAGGACTACAACCCTCTCGTCGAAAACCAACTCTGACACCATTTTGCCCTCAAGACATCAACCATAATTGCCGCTGCCGGTTATCTTGTGGACTACCCTCACTAAAGTTGCAGCACTGAAAATAAGTTTCAATCGCCAAAACCCAGTCCTTAGTTCTTTCCATTGAGAATATCTCCCTACTTTCCAATGCAAGGTAAGGTTGCAAAAGACTGTTAGAACAGTGTGGGCATAGATTTGCCCTGATGAAAGCTGATATCGTTCAAATGAGGGCAATTTTAACATTTTAAAGTATTTAAAATGATGTCCTAACTATAAATCAGGGGTAACTTTGTACCTTTACATGTTTTTCGTGAAGGGAAGTCTTTGTTGAATTTCTGAAAAGTTCAGGAGAGGTTTTTATTATTATCGAAACTCCAGGGGAGGTTCTTATATTTTATTCTTTTTTAAATATAAAATTATAAAGGTTAATTACTTTTTAATTAATACATATAATAAATTAACATAAATATTGAATGTAAAATTTAACATATATAATATATTACATAAAAGTTATATATTTTAGAGAATTTTTATATAATAAAATAAATATATCATTCGGATTTAGTTAAATCCACATCCATGAAATTATTAATCAGATGCAAATTTTAAAATCTAAATCCTCTCTTATTATGTAAACGGATCATTTGAATCAAAGGTCATCAAATTGGATTTGATATGGAATCAAATCTCGAATATTTGAAGTCTGTCGAATTGATTCAAAGCTAGGTCTCTTGTTAACGCTATCAACTTGACCGTCCACTCACAAAAAAATCAAACACAGAAACAAAAAGTTGACCATACAAACAATTTGATTAATAAGGAAAAAAAACATGACCACCCAAATGCCTTTTATCTTCTTAACCATTATTTGCATTTTTTTTTCTTATTATAGTTTGGTGATTATGTTTATTTACTTTATGGCGTCAGTAGAACTGAATGGAAAACAGGATTCATGCAACTGATCCCATATAGTTTACTTGAAAATGTTATAAAACTTCTTTTGCTTCAATTCTATTTAA